GCGGGCTCTTCGTACAGTTACTTCTTTCGGCGCACAAGCATATATTTTACGCTCTCGTACCCCCCGCTTAATAAACGCCCACGGGGAGGATAAAAAAGCACAGGATTGAAAGAAAAGAGAATATTCACCCAGTAAGAGATTATTTTTACATGGTACCTCTGTAATCGCATTCGATAATAATGATAATAACGATAATGGGCGGTATAAAAAAATACGTAAGAAATTCACGCTTGGTGTGTACGCGAATTTATAGCCGATAGGGTCTTTTTTTCACGTACTTTCGAGGCTACATCGTCGTAATAAAAAAGTCGAAACGAAATGAAAGAAGAAAAAAGAAATGACATTCAACTCGAGTGTCAAGTGCACTCGAGACTCGAAAGATTGGGTACGATATCGTACCGAAACGTATACGTGCTGTCTAAAAATATTCGTACGTTACGTTTTATACGCTACATATTATATATTACGTATACGTGTAACTATATTGGCCTGTACGTTCGCGCGCGCACATATATCGCGCGGTAATTGCGTGTTCGAATGGAATAATAAAAAGCGAACGGAAAAAAAAGCTCTCCGCGCGGGAATTTCGTGCTTTTTCAATTTTCAGTCAGCTGTGTTTCGCGTGTGTGTGTTTAAAGGCTGTGCCACGCGCGCGCGCGTGTTTTTCTGGCCTATGTGTATTTTACAAGTATAGAGATGGGCTGTGCTCGCGAGATGTACATACAGCGTTCAAAAATGCTCGGAAATTCGAAAAGTGACCAACTCCGTGCGATGATGCTCGAGTTAAAAGCTCGACTGTGAAATTCATCGATGACGCGCGTACGCGAGCTTTTGTTCAATTTTCGGTTTTTCCTACTTTATCCACGGATATGACCCGATACATCTCCCGTTATACCATATATATTTTACTGTATGAAAGAAAAGACACGCACCGTACTGCCTCACACACACACGCACGTGCGTATGTGCGTTTAAATATACACGCGCATAACTCTCGCTCGCGTGTATACGCCCTTAATTAAATGCAATTTCACTTTGAGCAAATGTAAATTTTAAAACTTGCGCACACACTGCAGCGGCTTCAAAGGGGGTATATAACTCGAGCTCGTGCATATATGTACGTATGCTGCGTTTGTGCACGATACGGATATTATTATGCACGCAGGCGTGTGTGTGTGTATGGGCTACTACTGTGTATTTGCCGAGATCATACGTGTGCGCAGTTACACACAAACGCGCCTATGAGCTTTTGAAAGACACAGAGGTAGACACATACGCTCAGCGATTCTCTCTGTGCGTAGCATATGTACGCATGTATAGTGTGTAATGTACGTGAGCTTTGTACCAATTATGAATGAATAATTATGAAAAAAAAAAAATAGTAATAATAATAATAATAATCATTGAACGACGACGAGAGTAAAATAATTAATGCCTTTACAACACTTGACTTGAAAGCTCGTGCCGCCAACTCGAGCTTATGTACGATGGTAAAGTAGCTCGTTGCGCGAGGCAATTTTTCGCCCGCTTAAACATTTAAAATCGAGCTGCTGCTGCTGCTGCCACGCGCTTCGATAATATTTTATTTAACGCCAAATCGTCCGATCTCTCGTGTGTGCTACCGCGCGTCCATTACCGAAGCTCGTCGTTCAGCTTCACGTTCGATTTCATCCCTTTGGTCCAAGTACTTTTACGCACTGTGTAGCAGAGACACACACACACATGACCGTATAACGTGTTACACGCGCGCTCATCCTTCACAAAAGCTGCTGCTGCTGCGCGGCGGCCTATATCGATCCGAGAGCTTGCAGCAGCCTCTCTCTCTCCCTCGCTCGACTGCTTTTGGTCCGCTGCAGCTGCAGCAGCAGCAGCCCGGGGTATATAAAATCGTATTTTCTCCATCAAAGTACGTTACACGCGTACATTCGTGCAAGCTCTCTCTCTCTCTCTCTATAATATAAGCTTCTTGCGTATAATCAGGGTACTACGCACTTCGCGCGCCCGCTGCACAATTGTACATATATATATAAGCCGAATGTACGGCGGCGTGCGCCTGATAATAATGTACGTGCTCGTGTATTAGTCCGTGATGATCCTCGTGCGCGCAGCTCTCTTGCGGCTACATTATTATTATTACGATCGTTATTGTTATTATTGTATTATAGCTTTGCAATTTTAAATACTATATACGATATTCGCGTATACGCGCAATAGTACCTACTGTACGATCGGATTTCGGCTATAACGCAGAGCGTACGTATACAAGTGTACACATATTATAGATATATACGGGCTGCGTGTGCTCGAGCGCGCCGCGCGCGTTTAATTATAAAATGACGGTGACGTTATATCGATGTGCCGTCATCGCCGCACGTCTGACACAATAATGATATATATACACATCGTACAGAGAGAGACGTATTATAGTAGGTACCGCAGCAGCACGTGCGTGTAAATATATATACACACGTGTGTGTGTATTATGATATACGACCATTTTTCGAGCAAAGGTTAATCGCGTTTCGATATTTTATGTGTATATCTGTAAAAACGTACACGATTGAGCAGCCAGGGATTTTGTTGAATGCACTCGGTCTCGATTTACATCGAGAAATATTTAAATTAAAGAAAATCAAGTAAAATTTATCATTTATTCTGATTTTTACGATACAACATTGTAAATTTTACTCGAAAAATTACTTTTGAAACTTTCTCACCACATACAGGAACCAAAGTTATAATTAGGAGTAATATCGATCCCCTCTCGCCTCGTCGCCCGTCCGAGCTTTAAATTCTATCGTAAAACGTCGATATTCCCTGGCCGAAATCGATACTGCATTAAATTGTGTGCATTAATCTTACACGCGTGCATTATAATATATATATCGACGAGAACACACATCACGATTGTCGCTTATTGTGTTATATTCAACAATACGGGGGCCAAGCGAGTATACCTAGATATATTATACGTACGTAGTACGTCTTCTCTCCTATCTCTCGCGTGCGCGTATGAGAGACAGAAATAAAACTGCGATGCGCCCCGGGACGTACCGTACGTACGTACGTACAAAAGATTAAGCTCGACGTATAGGTGTATACACACATGCATGACGGCGCATATAATATGATAGACTTTATTACATTCGAGTATATAATATACGTATGAAATAGGTGTAGGATACATATATATAAAAAGTTGAAAAAGTTTCGAATCCACGGCATTAATAAAGGATGATGTACACACGATCTCCAGCTATATAGAGAGAAGAGGAGCTACATAGATCCCAAGCTATGACGCGCGAAGACGAAGAAGAAAATGTAAATCCTCGCGTGCGCGACGCGTGAATATACATTCCAAGTATCTACATTATGCTCGTAATAATACGTGCTATAGAAACCAGTGTGTATACGATATATGCACCTTGACGCTCTGAAGGTTTATGCATAAAAGCTGCACCGTCGTTGTGGATCGAAGAGCGAGAGAGAGAAAATCAGCTGCTTAAACGTCGATTTATACATAATATTCAAGGAAACTCGAGCCGCGTCGATATTAATATTATAATATAATAACAACTACTTGTGTGCTGCTGCTGTTGCTGTTATTGGTAAACAAAACTTGCGCTCGAGCTTACGTGTGTGCTTTGCCTATATATATTATTAGACGCCGTCACCACCTCTGCTGCTGCCTGGCGTCGATAAACTTTTAATCAAGTGCACATAACGCTACGCAAGTGTTACACGACGCAATCGCAGAACTTCTGAAATTCGCCAAAGATGTCAAATTTATCGTGTGCGCGTTACATCACGATATATATACGTCGTGCGGAGGACTGCACGCGGTGACATATACACAGCCCATATATAGCGGGATATACACACACGATATAATGTACGGTATGTGTAAGCGGCTATAGCCACCGAGTGCGGCACAGCTGATTCCCAACGTGGTATACACAATATACACACACGCGGCTGTTTCGAATGTATTATGCACGACGATTTCAAAACTCCCGCACATATGCACATACACTGCTTTACTCTCTGGATTAATGCGCTGCACATTATATACGCGCCTTCGTTTACGATTTTCCTGCGTAGGAGGCTCGTGTTTATTATACCGGGGGCCGTACGGGCGCGTGGAAAATCGCGTTTTCCACGTTATGGCGTGTTTCGCGCGTTTATACACCCACGGTTACAATGTTGCGTTCGTTTTATGCCGCAACAATTTTGACGACAACCGCGATAACGTTATATCGATAATGACAATGACAATGGTAATGATTTTCAAGTAGTTTCGTGCAGCTACCGCAGCTTGTTAACTTGCAAAAATAAAAACCAAGAGGATGACCGTCAAATGCATCATCTCGCGCGATTTTTCAATTATTACGCGCGTATATAGTGTACGATATATATTCAAGTGCGTGAAAACAATTAACTCGTGTGAAACAACGGGGGGGGGCCGCGCTTTGATATACGTGTATTATACGCATCGCGTGGATAAACGATGCATCGAGCGTGTGGCAGCTGCGGCGGCGGTAACTCATATATACAACAACGAAAAAAAAAAAAAACACAACAGTCCGTAATACATAATCGTGAGTCACGTAAGCGAGAGAGAGACTGACCGATAAACAATGGGAGTGACATGCACACAAGCCTGAGTGTATAATATTCGTTTCGTACCGAATAAGTTCGAAACACTCCTTTTTTGTTTCAGTGGTCGCGCTCGATAATATACTAATCGATGTAAGCGTTGATCGAAGTCGTAAAGGCCTATATTATGTTTATACTTTAATACGTATCATAGTTTCGATGAGACCGTAATAATTCATCGTCGTGCGTACGCCAGTTGATTTAAAAATTTTCAAGGCGACGACGAGTACACGCGAGTCTTTGTGTTTCGCTTTGTCTCCGACGAGAAAAAAAATTGAAACAAAATCTTGTGTGTGTGTGTAGATGTGTACGTGTGATGTATGTATACTCATCAGGCAGCTTACCATCGATGTGACGCTCCGTGCTTCTCTTTTATTAATTTTTTTTATTAGCTGATTACTCGCTGCACTCTATATACGTTACGGTAATTTTTCCAAACTACCGCTCGCTGTATATTACAGTAGTATTTAATACGCTTCCGAGGTAGAGATGCTCGTATATATGTAACTCGGACGATCGCAGACGGAGACAGAGACACGGCGAGGTATCTCCCCTTCCCGCCTTTGCTGTGTATGTATACAGTACGGTTATTGCACTGATTCGCCTCCGTGTATCATTGGGGAGAGCACTGGCACTGCTTCTGCTGCTGCTGTTGCACTGATTCAACGCACACACAGACACAGACAGAGCTCACTACTCTCTTTGTGATTCTATATATGATGCAGTAAGCTTTCACTTTTTTTTTCACTTTTCTCGATTATTCAACACAACGAACGACACTTTGTAACCGGTGGTGCATCGACGCAACGATCTCACGATATACACCGCGTACTACACGATGAACACGCCACCAGCACCAGCACCACCATCATCATCATCATCATCACTAGCAGCAGCAGCTGAGCACGCGTATTCTTCTTCACATCATCATTACAATAACGTACGTCGAACTCGCGCGCGTCTTTTTCATTTTTTTTTGGATCCTCTCTATCGTAGATGCTCTCTCATTCTCTCTGCATTCTTCGAATTATACACCGCACAGGTACCAGAATTATAATATTCGAGGCAGAAGAGATGAAAATTACTTCTCTGCTTTTGGCACAAGCGACAACGTGATCACGTGTAGTACTTACGTATATACGCGCAGTTATTAAAACGACGCGATCTGCTCCGCGTTCGAAGAAGAATCATCGGCATCAGTATAAGCGGTGGTGGTGGCGGCGACACACAGCATCATCGTCGTCGTCATCGGCATCATCGTCGTCATCGGCCATGGACGCCGGCGGCAACGAACCAAGAGCATCGGACTCCCCTTTTTTTGGCAACGATGCTACTACTGTATTACTATCGACGCGGCTATGTATACCCAGTGCATTACGCGTGTTTTGTACGTATGATTTTACACGGCACAAAGACACTCGTCACGAATCTCTCTCTCTCTCTCTTTATTAAAGATAATAATAACGCGTCGCACAAGGGGAGCAGCGACGAGTCGCGCACACGGAGCACCGAGAGTTTTGACACAAAGCGAACAACGACTCTATCTCTCTCTCTCTCTCTTGCTCGGACGAGACGACAGCGACTCGCGCGCGCGAAGCGCCGACACGGCGTGTTTCGTCTGCTACGTCGCCGCGGTGGCTACTGCTGCTGCTGCTGCTGCTGTTAGCTCTGCTGCTGCTGCTGCTCCGCTGCGAAAAGCGGCGGTGGCGGCGGCGTCGGTGGGTGTATACGTGTATATACGTGTGTGTGGGAGGCGATGCTGCTGCTGCTGCATATATAGGGCACCTATAATACCGGCTCGATTCAGCAGCCGTTTCGAATGTTATAAACTCTCGAGACTCGACTCCGTGTAGGTGTAGCTGTGTGTGTGTCTTTCTCTGCGCGTTCGGAGCTTCTCGCAGTTCGAACTTGGAGGCTCTCTTCTTTGTTGCGGTGCTGCACACACATGTACGGTGGGCTCGAGAGAGCATATAGAGGACACTACTGCCTCGAGAGCTATACACATACATATATTACAACATAGTAGGTTATATACCCGTGTGTGTAGGTATATATTTTAGCGCGGCTGGTTTTACCGAAGCTGATTTTGCAATATGACGAGCTTTTCTAGCCTGTTTTAAGCTCATTTTCGATTCACTGACTTTGGGGATTAAAACATTATATTATTAATCGTTATCGTGCTTTCGAATAAAATCCGATCGTCGTAACATCTCGGAAAAATCGATACGATACGAACTGCGAAGGGTTTTTTTTTTTTTTTTGAGAAAAAAAATACATCTATACGTATAGACCGCGATAAAAGCTCCGAGCCCGAAATTAGATACGCGAGGCACGAATCGATAATGTATAATCTGGATTGAATCGATTCGCGTATACGTACTATCGTAGATATATACGTAAGTATAATCTACGCGTGAAGAAAGTGCGCATATATAGTAGTAGTAGCTAGATAAACCATCTTTCGGGGGTAAGAATCAATCAAAGATTGATAAGTAGTTTTGCGCAATCGTAATCTAGTACTTTCCCCTTTTTTTTATCTTATTCGTCTTCTTGCTCTTCCTTCCACCTATCTCAAAACTCAATTATTCGCGCGCACCACTACTACGGAATTCATTGCAAGTCGACCCTCGGACTACGTACGTGGGCTTTACACGTAGTACCATACGCTATTATTTTACCACAGAGAGAGAGTAGCATTGTAATCTTGGAGAAGCAGAATCGCTCGCGTGAATATATTACACGTATTATAGAGAGACACTCGCGTATATGCACGTCACGATTCGAGGTACCATACAATACCGATCGTCTTTCTCGATTATTATTCGTGCCCGTAAAGCCAGAACGAATTAACGAAAAAAATCGGCGGATGTTAATAACGCCGAGTGAAATATATATCCGAGAAACAAGAGGAGCGGAGCTTTCGGGCGGGCATCGTAAAGCTGCGCGTTACGCGGAATCCGGTTTACGATGTACAGTTATATACATTATGTTCTCTGATGTATACGTTCGGTATATTTCATTGGAAGCTCTCGTTCTCGAGCTGCAAGGGTAATGGGGTATATCGGCGTGAATAATAGCTCCGATACACCGTCGCGCTGCGATACTTCGTAGAACGACTATATTATATACGGTATGTATACGATCTCGCTGCCGCCATCGAGTTTGCTATATATATATGTTTCTCGCGTTCGCACGACGTAGAGTTCCAAGAGCAAAGAGGCGTTTTTCTCTCTTACATGGTGAAGAATTGACGTTTATTTTTATTTATCTTTTATTCAATTTTCTTTTTTTTTTCAATTGGTAATCGCGCGATCCGCAGAACTTTTCAATGCGGCGCGTAACGAGTTTATACAGCAATCAACGCGCGGGCGCGGTGCGGGAGAGTTGCACCGCAAAACTCGAAAAACGAGAAATAAGAGGAAGAGACGGTTTTCTTTTTTCATTTATTTCTTTTATTTTATTCAAGTACATGAATTCAATTCAGCTTTTTTTTATCCGGTATACTCGATCGAGCGAGGAGTGGAAAAAGCGTAAAATCGCGTACCCTTCCGCTGCACTTATGCGGAATAAATTTTGTATATGGGTAAAATTCAGAATATTTCAAATGAACCCGCGGACGAGGTTCGCGGATTTCTCTGAAATTTTGGTATGTTGCCTAGTACATGGGAAAATAGTCTTGAATCTAATGAAATGCATGAAAGTACGTTTCAACAAAACAAACTATTTAGAATTTTTTCAGATTTCTGGAGTGCTTCAGGGCTTCAGATAAAATCATTGAAAATTTTAATAGCATTAAGTAATGTCAATAGTAAACTTGTATTGATCAAAATAAACAACCTCCTCCACACTATTTCAATTCGAAGCTTCTGACTCAACCGCCAGGTGGCGCAACGCCAACGAAAACTCGTACCTGCAAGTAGAAGACCATGCTTCAAGTTACTAGTACAAGTGGCTTTCTCGATCCAAGAAGAACAAAATATTTGAAGTATATATCGCATTAAGATGATCTGATCTACTTGACATTTTTCCCGCAATAAAAAATGAAAAATACTCCTGACATCTCCTTCAGCAAAATAAAAGAGATATTTAATTAAAAGATATAAAAAACGCCGCATAATCAGCTTCATCCACAAGGACTCCTTCCATTTTTAAGATTTTCGGGTAGTTTGCTAAAGTTGACTTTTCAGTTCGTATCGACCCTTCCTACTACGAATAGAGCCATTATTATTATTATTTTTTAGATCGTCTGCAGAGCACTAGCCGGTTGCGAATGATACTCTTAGCGCAGTCGTGGTAAAAGCTCTATGTTTAAGTTCTTGGTGTTAGAATTAAGGAAAAAGTATTACGATCTGGAATATCAAACCGTTCGACCGAAAATAAAATTATTTTCATTTTCAATGATTTAATCTATGAGTCCAAAGCATTTAAAAAAAATCTGAAAAAATTCCAGGTAGTTTGTCTTGTTGAAACGTACCTTCATGAATTTTTTCAGATATTTTTAGTCAAAACCAGCTTTAGAATCGTAACGTCCGTACCAATTCTGAAGATGACGAGCGACATCGAAGTCTGAAAATTCCGGCTTCCGGACAATTTTTACATGTACTATGACATCCCAAAATTTGTTTATTAGTTGAAAAAATTCTTAATCCAACCCATATGTGTTTGCCGTATAGCGAGTAAAGCGTGGAGATTTAAGAGAAAAACAACTTGAGCAGTATGCTCGCCACATCGGCTTATCCCTCCCGCTGTATACAGTTATACATACATACGTATACATGTTTATATCGATTTGCAATTTACGCAAATACTTGTGGGAGAGGCAACGTCGAGGAAGGCTTTCCGCGACCTCCTGCCTGCCTCCCCCTCATCGTTTTAGCTTCGGCCCCGGGTATCTACGGTTTCAACTTCTATCTATCGCTCGAGCTTCAAGCTAAGCAGAGCAAAGTGCGAGATGATCGTTTGACGCGCGCGCGAAAGCTGCGTAGCTATGTATATAGTGGTAGCTACTTTATCATAATAATAATAATAATAGTAATCGCGTGCGAGCGTCTTGGATAACGAACGCATAGAATTACCTGCGAGCCAATATATATATAAGGTCACGTGACGATGGTTGGTCGAGAAGGCGATGAATTAAATTTGTATGAACCTTTTGCAAGCTCGGCATGAGCTTAAAAGTAAATCATTGTATGATAAATCAACGCTGTGTTTACCGCATGATCGTAAACCCCAAGCGCGACGCATTTACAACGCATCTATGTATACGAATTATTATTGACCATTTGTCAACTACCACCGCTATACGTATGTGTGTCGTTCGTATCCAAGGCCGTCGAAGCTGTCGCTTGAAAAAAAAAAATCGACGAGTAATAACAGGTGCGAGCGCGTAATCGTCGGAGTCGCACGCGCCGGCCTATACTATACGCGTGCAGTATTATCGTAATAATGAGTTCGCAACTGAATTCGAGCACAAGAGGACATTACTTTGAAACGAAAATTGCATCGCAAGCTCATTATTGAATGAACCCTCGTACGATCATTTTGCTATAAAAAATACGAAGCTTACGAAAAAAAAAAAAAAAATTGAGATCGGGAAGATCGAACGAGACGTAATGATTTACGTGCGGCGCGTGGCTAATGCTACATCTGTATAGGAAGTAAAATCGTCGTCGATTGCACACACGTGCGGTGCATATAATATAATATATCGAGGCAAATTTTCAAACGAGGATATGTACGTAAAGAACGTCGATTTAAACGCGCACGAGTTTTCGCGCTGATTTATAATATCCCATAAACATATAAGATCGAGGCACACAAAAAGTGTCGGGAGGCTTGTGCTATAAATTATCCGACGCGCAGGTGAACTCGAATCGGCGTTGGACGCATTCGAGCGTGTCGCGCGCGTCATCGCGCTGTGTGTGTAATCGTTTTCGCGAATCCGAAAATGCGTCTACCCGATTTTTCCCCTCCGACCCGCGTGTCCGATACATGAGGCAATGACTCGAACGAATGGAAAGAGAGAGAGAAAAAAAATTGGAAAGGAAAGAAAAGAGAATTGCACAAAACTCGTACTGTATACGATACCGATATATATTATGTACATTGTACCGAATGAGCTTGCCACATTTCGGTCTAAAAATATATGTGCGCAAGTGTGAATAATGCGAAAACTCGTTTGTCTCGAGCACGCGCGCGCGTGGAAAAGTCATCGCTTCGCTTACATATTGTTTCGTTCTCTCTCTCTCTCTCTCCCTCCCTCGATTTCCTCTACTTTTTTGCGTATGTGTGTGATTCTCGGAGTTGAATGAACCGTGAGCTTATATTATGAACAATTCTACGAGTCATCGGCTAGATTCGAGGCTAAAATTGCGATTAAAAATGATGTCGTTGTTATGGATGTACTCGACGTTGATAATTGTTTACTGTAGTCCTAGAGACATGAAAAGGCTAGGGATCGAAAAAATGTTATAAATTTTTGGTGAATTTTATTTTATTGATGTGCAAATTCAATTATCTTTTACTTAACCATCAACACATTATGAAAAAATGTTTCGAATAATATATGAAATCGCTTAAAGAAGTTAAGAAGTTAATTATCACTTAAGAATTACTTCTGGATTCGAGAACTCGATTGAAAGGATTATTTGACACCAAAACGTTTAATAGTACTGGGTTAATGATAACAGGTGAATGAAATATTTAAAAATTTATTATAATTATTATAAAAAAAATAAATAAAAAATAAGACGTGTTTTTTATTATATCTGTTTATTTAAAATTATTTAATGAAACTTTTCATATTTTTAGACAATTTATTTCGTCCGAATGTTTTATAAATAATTTACTTTCTTCAAGATTCACAATGATGTTGAAATGTATTTATTTATGTAGGTTTTTACGTAAGCTCGCAGTCACCATTAGATTTTGACTACGATTATGTACTGTCCTTATGTGTCTTTTAAGTATATTCCAGAGTGTAAATGATTTTTGATAAATCTTAGTATCGAAGGGTTTGCTCTAATTACGTACTATATTCATGTGAGATGTAAGATTTCTTGTCTGACCAAATAATTTTTGACAAATCTCTCACTCCAATGGTTCCCTCCGTTTATGTACTGATGAATTTCTGTGATTTTTAAGAACATTTAGGTATCCAAACGATTTGTAACAAATGTCACATACAAAGGGTTTCTTACGATTATGTAATACATTTATATGTCTGCTGAGATCAAATATCACATTCAAAGGGTTTGCTCCTATTATGTACTGCAGTTACATGAGTTTTGAGGTTACTTTTTAGTCCGAATGATTTATGACAAATATGACATTCAAATGGTTTGCTACGAACATGTACTGTATTTATGTGCCTTTTTAATACATGTTGGTATCCAAATGATTTGTGACAAATTTCACATTCAAATGGTTTGCTACGAACATGTACTGTATTTATGTGCCTTTTTAATACATGTTGGTATCCAAATGATTTGTGACAAATTTCACATTCAAAGAGTTTACTCCGATTATGCACTGCATTTATATGAATTAGGAGGCTGTCTTTTTGTCCAAATGATTTGTTACAAATTCCACAATCGAAAGGTTTAATACAATCATGTACTGCATTTATATGAATTTGGAGAGCACCTTTTTGTCCAAATGATTTGTGACAAATGTCACACTCGTAGGGTTTGCTAAGATCATGTACAGTATTTACGTGAGTTTTAAGATGTGATTTTTGTCTAAATGATTTATGACAAATCTCACATTGCAAGGGTTTAATTTTATCATGTATATCTTTTGAATGAATTTTGAGAAGTTTTTTACAGAAAAATGAATCATTACATACTTCACAATCGTACGATCTAATGCTTTCATCTATCTTATTCGTATGTTTTTTTAGACTTGCTTTTGCTGTATATATCTCTCGACATATTTGTGATTCCAATGATAATTTTTTTACCATATTTTCTTCAAATTTTTTCATTTTCTTACATTCGACTATTTTTAAATGGCATTTCTCATTCAATTGACAATTATCATCATAGTTAAAACCTTTTTTAATCAAAATTATTAGACTTTTTTTGCTCGCGTAATTTATCAGATCTTCGTTTTCTTTTTTCACAATAAGTTGATCACTTTGACACTCAGATTTGCAGATGGCCGTTGACGAAGACTCCAGTTCAGTTTTAACATTTTCACACTCAAACTCTATGGATATATTTTTATGTATGTTATCTGGTTGATTTTCGTTTTCTATTTTCACAATATATTGACAACTCTGATACTCAGATTTGCTGATGGTTGTCGATACAGACGTAGATTCAGATTTAACATCTCTGTACTCCGAATCTATGAATGTATTTTTATCTGACCTTGCCACAGCCTCATTCACGTGTTTAGCCTGCAATGGAAATTTTGGGCTAATTGCATATAATGAATCAACAAAAGATAATTTAAATCATTGAACTCACCGATAATTCATGCAATGGGAATATTTCAACTTTTTCGGCTTTGCAAGACCCCATCGAATTGAAAACATAACCTTCATCTGCGCTCGTCCAAGTATCGCTCAGTTCCTCTTTCACCCTGAACATCAATCGAGTTTAATAAGAGATCGCTCTAAAAATTATAATTGCGGTATAGCACAAAAAAGTTATACCTAACTACGTTCTCGCTTGCTTCTCCATCGCCCTCCATCGCTTCCTTGATTACAAGTATTCACTGTGAATTTTCACGATTTAGACACTGAGAAAATATTGAAGGTTAAACGCCTCGAGTATAGCAAACACTTTTTCTCGATTTCAAGTATAATCACTTCTGGAATTGAGCTTCACACTTACTGCGAGTGAACGCATGAGTCGCACGTATAAGGGAGGTAATCCCGCAACTGCGATGGCTAGTAGCTACTCGGCCAAAATTTCCCCTATTACTGACGACTTCGTCCTTACCCAGTTATTTGTGCACGTGTGTCGCTTTGTTAGCGTTTAATTCGGCAACAGGTCGAAACGTAAACACAGCGAAAAAGGGCCGATGCTTATGTTTAGAATGTGGCAATTGTGATTATTTCCGCGTATATCGTACGCACGAGCAGCTCATTATACGCTATGTTTAGGTTTTCTCTCTGGTGCGTAAAGAATATACAACCGGTGTACTTTCCGCTCGTAGATGTCGAAAATAGATATAAGAATAGATGACTAATTTGATCAATCATCGTGGCTAACAATTTGAGGCTAAAATCGCGATTGAATTTTTGTCACTTAAAAAGGATAATAAATAAACTTTGCTAGATAAACGAAAAATTGCATTTCCATGTAAAAATGACTACTTCTGCGTGTTTGGCACTGCCAAAATTGTTCAAAACTTTGAAACACTTGAAAAATATCCACTCAAAAGTAACTGAATTTGCGCATTAATTGGTTGACATTCACTAAAAATGATACCATTCAGAAGTTATATTTATATCACACCGCGCAGGTAAATCCTAAAACTAACTTTCCGCTGGCTATGCTGAAAAATAAAGTACGCAACTGGAGTAACTGTATATTTTTAACTCTGCAAAATTTTCCATCGCTGTTGCGTCAATTTTTGAATGTACCCTAAAGTAATCTTCTATAACAAATATAGCTCTAGAGAAAATACCGATCAAAGTTTCCATAAGAATCTCACTATAAACAATCATCAACGCCCATTAAGCGCGTCCATCGAAGAAAAGAGTTTCAAACTCGATTTTAGCCCCGCGAAATTCGCCGATGATTCGTTGAATTGCTCACGATATAAGAAGTATTAGCTCCAGTGCATATCATGCCTTCTTCTACACACGTGTTTACACGCGCTAAAACAACATTGACGTACAATCTTATCATCGGCGTATACGTATTATACAGAGAGGCGCACGACGTCAAAGGCAAGATATAGAACATATGATGTGTGAGCTCAGATCAGACCGAGATCGGAGAAGTCGTCACTAAACACGTGCTATACCGTACCAGATCATCGTCGTCATCGCGTCTCATTGTCATTGCCGCGCGTAATTTCATACATTGTCATCGCTTAAATTCACGATCGTTCTCTTGACTTGTTTTTTTTTACCAGTATAAACCATTCACGCGACATAATTGTCACGATCGCGAGCTTCTTCTTATTATTCTTTTTTTTTTCTACGTAAAATAGATCGCCTGCAAATGCATACGCCTCGATGCCTCGCTCGCGCGGCGACGAACCAAAGTAGGTCGAAATTGTACTGCACACTGCACCGACCTATACACGTATACACACACACACGTGCGGCCAAGTCAGGCAGTGTCGCTATGTATAAGACAAGGTTAATAAGCCAACGACGATGCTCTACTACTGTTGCTACTGCTGCTGTTTCTGCCGAGCTGATGCACTTATGTATAATGCGAACGCGCGAGTCTATAAAATACATGCGATATAATACACTCATATTATATATTAGGAATTTTACGAAGCTTTTTGCAAGCTCGAGACTTTGAAATTTTTTTATATAGCACACGCCGTGCACGCCCTTATTTCTGCTTTCTTTTCTTTTTCACATCTACTCTCTTTTTTTTTTTAATATGTTCCGTACGAGATTTTTCCGACCTTTTGATGACGATAACTCCTTTAGTTGAAAAATTTTGCGCGAAAGCTCAAGCTTGTGCGTTACGTGTGTAAAGCGGGACGGTGGTATTAACACAATCTTCCGTGCAATAAACTTTCTTATGAAGTATTACGTTATAAATATAGCACACGCGGATGGCTCTTTTTTTTATCTTTTCCTCTTTTTTTCGACCGTCTGCATTCATGCCGTCGCAAAAACACACGGACGACGGGATAGCAGATAGTAGTGGTAGCAAGACACGGTAGCGACCGAGTAAAATCGATTTTGCCCTCGTATATCCGTGCAATATAAGTCTGCGTTTGTGGGTATGTGTGTGTAATGTGTATGTCACGTATCAGGTGCAGAGACTCTTGACTGCCTATTGCTGCTGCTGCTGCTGCTGCTGTGGAAGTTAAGCGGCGTGACATCGCAAAGAGCCACATTGTTTGCCACTGCTCGGAATATACAGTACCGTATATACACGGCACGTCAGAGTTTCTCTTTACGGAGAGAGAGAGAGAGAGAGAGAGAGATAGAAAGAGGGAGACGATCTCGTTGCTGCCGGCAAAGGCGTCAAAAACGTGTCTGAAACTCATCATATACGTTTGGTACATACACAGTAGGGTGGTTCGCTTTTGCAAAAATGTTCAAAATCGCATATACGTCATGGCGATTCTGAAAGTTCAAGTCCTTACGAAAAGGAAGCCGGGTTCAGAACCTAAAAAAAGTGTCGGGAACCGGTGTCGATCGATTTTTGAAGTTTAAAAACGTGGTCCAAAATAGGAGCAAAATCGGTCAACCATTCAATTTATTTCAAACTGTGTTTCGAGAGTAAAAATAATATCGACAATACATTTTCATACGTATTTTTGTCTGTAGAATCGAATGCCGTAGTCAGTTTTGCTCTACGACTTCATTTTCATCGATAAAAATGTACTTTTTTGATTTTTTTTTTCGCTTAAAAATCCAAAAATCGACTTTGCAACGTTTAAAAATGAACAGAAAAAATCTTCGAAAATTTTTGACACTACCAAAATTTAGGATTTTTTGTGACGAATCCAACCGTATAAATTAGTATATGCTTTAAAATTATTTTCATTCATAAAAATGCAAATTTTCGATATTTTTTGGCTGAATTTGACGAAAAATCTCGAAAACGCGCCCTTTTTGAGAGAAAGTGCTCTTAAAAAATCCCGCTGCAACATTTTTTTTGTATTTTTTGCTGTAAAATTGAATGACGTTGTGATTTTGGTCCTAAAACATCGTTTTAGAAAAAAACGTTTTTTTTTCGAAAACATCTCGTTTTCGAGATTTTTCGTCAAATTCAGCCAAAAAATATCGAAAATTTGCATTTTTATGAATGAAAATAATTTTAAAGCATATACTAATTTATACGGTTGGATTCGTCACAAAAAATCCTAAATTTTGGTAGTGTCAAAAATTTTCGAAGATTTTTTCTGTTCATTTTTAAACGTTGCAAAGTCGATTTTTGGATTTTTAAGCGAAAAAAAAATCAAAAAAGTACATTTTTATCGATGAAAATGAAGTCGTAGAGCAAAACTGACTACGGCATTCGATTCTACAGACAAAAATACGTAAGAAAATGTATTGTCGATATTATTTTTACTCTCGAAACACAGTTTGAAATAAATTGAATGGTTGACCGATTTTTCTCCTATTTTAGACCACGTTTTTAAACTTCAAAAATCGATCGACACCGGTTCCCGGCACTTTTTTTAGGTTCTGAACCCGTCTTTCTTTTCGTAAAGACTTGAACTTTCAGAATCGCCATGACGTATACGCGATTTTTAACATTTTTGCAAAAGCGAACCACCCTAATACACAGGCGCTCATTTATAAAGCGCGCGCATACACAAAAGCCCCTAGATAGCTTTCACCAGTCGTACGCAGGAGTATACATGCATTATAGTCGCTCGCATAGTCGATCGTCGTTTCTCGATCACGGTATTTCTCTCTTTCTGCTCGAGTCATTAAAGGATTTTATAATATAATATCTACGGAGCTTTTGCTCAAAATAGACAAAGGTAGAGAGAGAGAGATGAGAAATCAATCGATCAAGAGCACAAAGGCCGTTGTATGATTTTAAATAAAAGCAGCGAAACGAGCGACCGAGATATATATTTTTCAAACTCACACATCCACGCACATTTTCATTCTTGTATCATGTTCGTGTTGATTGAATTTTTTTATTTTTATATGTGTATCAAATTGTTATTTCCACTTCACGCTCATAAACAACAATGAAAAAATCTTAGATGCAAGCCTAGCAAAAGTGGAAAGATGGATCAGAAAAAGATATTTTGCTGCAACAGCAAAATGATTGGTCTATAATTCAATGCTAAATTTTGCTACATTTTTAGCTGCGGTAGCAAAATATCTTTTTCTGGTCCATCTTTCCACTTTTGTTGGAATTGACTTTAAGATTTTTTTCAGTGTAACTGCCAACCACCAGATGGCGCAGCGACGGAAAAAGACGTACCCGCAAGAGGTAAACAATTCTTCAGGGTACTAGTACATTTATTTAATAAGCAACTCTTTACTAAGCTACCAAAGTCCTGGCTGTTTCCTAGTTGTTTTAGAACTAATATAAATTAATAGATAATGTCGAGTTTTTCCATCTGCATACAAACTTCCCGATTGCAAAATGATTCGAGAAACAACTTGCTCCATTGACAACCATCTGACTTCTTTCAACGTAAGGATACTTTGATGGAATTTATCAAGTTCTTGTTGGAGAACATTTAAATTATGTTTACGGTTGGAGCTACTTAACATTTAATAAATGACATTAATTAACATGATGAACTCTGCAGGTGGCAGTTCTTTAGCAGGCCATTTCAGGCACAAGTGAGTCTTATGAGCATATTTAGTAATACAGTTATCAAACGAAGCTGCATATATATTTGTCATTGAAATATTTTGGTTCATAAAAGCATCTTTAAATCTCGTAAACAATTGCATCGTGGTCACCTAGAGCCTTCATTAATGTTTGTCAAACACTGGAACTTAAAATCGTAAAATTCCGTACAATGCGTCTCGCTGCGAAATCAGCATATGGTAACATAATTACCAAAGTCTTTATACTACGCAGATCAAAACGGTCCGATTTCCGAAACGTCACGTTTCGCTTCGTGTCACGTCGCGCGATATGTTTTTATTGCCTGCCGGCGCTTGCCTGAACTCGTTTAGTTGTTTCGAGATTGTGCGGCGCAGTTACGCAGAGAGCGGCGAGCAGTTGGCTGGTCGAGTCATACAGTTCAGTAGACGTTACGACGCCGCAGCGTGCGCAACAAAGAAAACAAATCGCATCGTCAGCAGCTCGTGATTCTTTCGTAAAAAGTGAAAAGTATTTTAAGTGCGGAACAACATGTCCTCCTCGTCCAACAGTGAATCCAATGATGACGAAGATATGGACCAACTTGGCAAACTCGAAAAATTAAAGAGCTTACGCGATCAATTCAATTGTGAGATCCAAGATGAGCGACGCGAATTCATTCGTCAACTTCGTCCCTTGATCAGAAATTGGACGGACGAACTTCCCGATCTGCGCGACATTTTTCGTCCCGCGGACATTGATTGGCTTCTCGAAGAGTCCGTGAGGTCGAACGCGAGATTCTTGGACTCGGAGACAACTCCGTTCGTCAAGTTTGTGATCGACGCCGGCTACAAGGACGAGCCCAAGTTCGACGAAAACGGCAAGCCACTGCTGCTACGCGAGACACCACTGCATCACGCTTTCAACGAACACATCATCGGTCAACTGTTCAAAATATACGACAGGTTCGACGCGAACTACATCAACGAACACGGCATCTCGCATTTTCACCTGGCCTGTCGTCTGGGCTGCACCGACTTGGCCAAGAAATTCCTCGAGTTTGGACAGGATCCCAACGGCTTCGTGCCGGAATCGAACGCGGGTTTCACTCGTACGCCGTTACACTTTGCACTGCAGCAGGGCTTTGAACACTGCATGGAGATGGTCGAGTTGCTGCTGAGAAGCGGCGCCGATCCGAACATGGTCGACAAGTGGGGATCGACCCCTTTGCACGTGATTTGCCGGGGAGAAGACGACGACAACGACTTGGCGGAGTTCTTTTTCAAGGTCAACGGCGAATTGAAGCAGAAGGTGTTGGTCGACGTTCGCGACCACGAGGGTCTGACGCCGCTGCAATCGGCCGTGTCCAATCTCTTGCCGAACGTGGTCGATGTACTTTTGAATCGTGGCGCCGATCTGACCAGCTTCGTTCTCCCAACCGCGAGTGTCTTCGTCGTGAAATTTGTACTCGCTCTTAAACGACTCAAATATAATTTTGTTCGAATATTATTCAAATTGCGACTAGCGTCCGGCGCTATGATGGTCGTCGAGCGTCTAGAGAAAAGAGGCTACGAAATGGGCCGAGACGACGCCCTGACGATCATGCACTTTTTCGCCGCGTTCGATTTGTTCAAGGAGCCGGAGTCCTTTGACGAAGGTTGGTTCAACGACGAGGAGTTCACGAAAAAAGCGAAAATACAACTGATAATCCTCGTCGACGAATCATCGGAACGTCCGGAACTGACGCTCTACGACCTGATCCGGCTGCGGCCCGAGGAGGCGGCCAAACGACTCGCTTACGCGGACTACTTCGCGCTGTGGCGCTCGTCCGTATTGTGGAGTATGCGCCGAGACTCTCAGGAGGCGTGTATCACGCATCTGTGCGAGATACTGACGAGGGGATTTTTCCGGCGCTGGGCTCTGGATCCATTCATGGAGCTGACGCGAAATCAGCTGCCGATTCTCTGCTGCGACATAATCGTGAAGAAGCTAGTGAACGAGGATTTGTTTCGCCTTTGCCTCGCGGTCGAGGGCAAAACTAAGGATGGATCGAGCGAGGCGAAATAAATGAATCAGATAGAACATACATTTTTAATCTTTTTCTATGTTGGATGTTGTTAAATTACAGCGATTTTTGACTTTATCATACTTTAATAAAAATTGAACTGATGAATAAATAAATACAAGTCTATTGTTTTTCTTTCAAAATATACTCTACTATCTTGACAAAAAATTTTATTCGTAAGTCGAACAATAGTCATCGCACAAGCATCTCGTCTTGTAAATAATTACATTCAAAATACCATTTATGTTTGATAATATATATTGAAGCTCATTACAAAGAGTTAGCGGGGTACTACGCTACAAAAAAAAATCGCTGCGAAAACCAACAAAAACATCAAGCAATTTGGTCCTTAATGGGTTAATCACGCTATGATATATTTTTCAGGATTACCGTTGGTTTGTCTGAATAAAATATCATATTAAACATTAGGCTGATCAATAATGTAATTTCTTCAATTATAATAAATGATATTATCCTTATTGTTTACTTTAGTAAATTGGAACTTTCTTGATACGATTTGTAAATATTATTTTAGTTAGTCAATTGTGTTGTAACATCATTACAGAAAGACCAGTCCTTAATGAACTTCCAAACAAATAAGATGGAATCGAGCGGAATGTTTAACTGTGTAGTCAGGTAATTTTTATTTTATTTGAGTATGTGACAATTTTACAGCATAATACTCAATCGTTTTGTAAATATTTTAGAGTAAAAAGTGAACCTATTGATGTGTCATATGCTGAGAATGAGTATAATAGTATTGACGAGACCCTCGATGATAAAAATTTTGAATTTTCCAGATGTCCACAAGAAAACCCAGTGAGTTCTCATAATTACGTACTATTTATATTTTAATAATCTACAATTAATAAAAAAAATTCTCGTAATATCTATTTGATTCAGATTCACGTGCTTCGGAAATCTGACGAAAGTCACAAAGGTGAACTTGACGAGTTGGCGATCGAGTTGGAATGTAAAGAACAGAAGCCCAAATTTGATTTACTAGCGGTTACGAAGATTGAAAATTCGTTTCAAAATCACTCGCAGCATATGGAAGATGGAAATGGTCATCGAGTTCGAGGTGAAATTAAAATAGAAAATTCGGGAGCTATAAAAAAGGAATCATTCGTGGACGACGCAAGCCAATTGAATGTTGAATTAGACCGTGGACTCGGTGAGCCAAATGAAACAAGCCGTGTTACAAACAAGTTGAGCGATAAACGTAGCCTCAAAACGCGCATCGGAACGGCGCACAATGGTTTCACCGACACTCGTGATCTTTGTAAAAAGACTTGGGGAACTAAGAGTAATCGAAAAAAACATATTGATGCGGTACAAAATACGATCCCTCACGCATGTAGTATTTGCGGAAACAAATTCGCACGAAAGAGTAATCTGAAAAATCATATTGACGCAGTGCATAATGGAGTCAGATATGCATGTGATATTTGCGGAAACAAATTCGCACGAAAGAGTACTCTGAAAAATCATATTGACGCAGTGCATAATGGAGTCAGATATGCATGTGATATTTGCGGAAAGAAATACTCTCAGAAGGATCATCTAAAAGAACACATCGATTTTGCGCATCATAAAATCGTACATGAATGTGATCGTTGTGGAAAGAAATTTTCAGTCAAGAATAATCTAAAAAGACACGTCGATACCGCGCACAATGGCCTTAGATACGCATGTGATATTTGCGGAAAGAAGTACTCACAGAAGAGTGGTCTCAAGAATCACATAGATGTAGCGCACAATGGTATCGCCCCTATTTGTAAGACATGTGGTAAGACATTTGCACGACTGGCTGTTCTCAAACGCCACATCGATTCGGTACATGATAAAATCATTCATGAATGTGATATTTGCGGAAAGAAATACTCACAGAAGGGTGATCTCAAGAGACACATGGATGTGGCGCACAATGGTGTCAGATATGAATGTAATAGTTGCACAAAGAAATACTTGCATAAGAGTGTTCTCAAGAATCACATGGATGTGGCGCACAATGGTATCAGACATGAATGTAGTAGCTGCACAAAGAAATACTCGCATAAGAATGATCTCAAGAAACACATCGATGTGGCGCACAATGGTGTTAGAAATGCATGTGATATTTGCGAAAAGAGTTTCTCAGATAAGAGTTATCTCAAGAAACACATCGATGTGGCGCACAATGGTGTCGCTCATACTTGTGATCTTTGTGGCAAGAAATTTTCAGAGAAATGTAGTCTTAAAAACCACATCGAGTCGCTACATATTGGTATGACACATGCATGTGATACATGCCAAAAGGTATTCTCATACAAAGGTAATCTCAAGAAGCACATTGATTCTGTGCACAAGCGAGTCAGACATGCATGTGATCTTTGTGGGAAGACATTTTCACTGAGGGGGACTCTCAAGAAACACATCGTTGTGGCGCACAATGGTAATAAATATACATGCGATGTATGTGGATCAAAATCCACAACGAAGAGTAATCTCCGAAGACACATTGACACAGTACATAATAAGATCACTCATGCATGCGATACATGCGGAAAATCATTTTCACTCAAGAGTAATCTCAAGAGGCACATCGATATGGCGCATCGCATGTGACGCATTATGAGTCATAATCGTGACTCGTTAAAATTAAAAATTAGATTTAATTGTTTTATTTCGGACCATTTGATTAAATTTTTAATCAATTAAATGCAACACTGATTATGACTCGATAACTAAAAAATTTACGTTCAATTTTATAAAAAAAAAAAAACAAAATTTCCATTTGAAGGACTAATTTAAACATTTTTATGTATTATGTATTATAAATTTTTTCTCATTGTATAGTACGTTATCTCATTACGTTATCAACTGCGAAGTATTAAAAAAAAAATTAACACATTTTTTATAGGAAAAAAACTACATTTTATTTATTGTATAAAATTTATCATAACCTATCTATTTTGACACTTTTCAAAGCTCCGTGTACTCGAGGCACCTTAACCCATTAACGACCAAAATGCTCGATTTTTTCGTTGGTTTTCGCAGCGATTTTTTTTGTAGTTTTAGGCCTCCAAAAAGTTTCGTATGGACCTATTTCGATGTAAAATTTAATGCCCTTTCAGAAACTGAGCTCAAAATTTCGATTCTTTGCGTAATAAAAAAGTTATGGCTACTTATACGAAAAAAAAAGGAAAAATTTTTTGCAAAAAATCAAGTTTTCGCTTTTTTTTCGCCAAGTTACCGTCAAGAAATCACGATATGAATATGATCAGGGGTAATCACGACTATCAAAGTATCTCAAAGAATTTTTATGGAATTTTTTAACTCCTTTTCAAACTTTGGTTTTTTGCACTTTTTATCTAAATTCAGTAGTTTTTGAGTAAAAATGAGTTATGTTTTATATGAACATAAGTTATTTTTTGTTTGAAGTAGTGGTTCGAAAATTCCATAAAAATTCTCTGAGATACTTTGATAGTCGTGATCACCCCTGATCATATTTATATCGTGATTCCCTAACGGTAACATGGTGAAAAAAAATGAAAAACTTGATTTTTTGCAAAAAACTTTACGTTTTTTTTCGTATAAGTAGCCATAACTTTTTTATTACGCAAAGAATCGAAAATTTGATCTCAGTTTCTGAAAGGGCATTACATTTTACATCGAAATAGGTCCATACGAAACGTTTTGGATACATAAAACTACAAAAAAAATCGCTGCGAAAACCAACAAAAAAATCAAGCAGTTTGGTCCTTAATGGGTTAATCACGATATGATATCTTTTTCAGGATTACCGATGGTTTGTCTGAATAAAATATCATATTAAACATTAGGCTGATCAATAATGTAATTTCTTCAATTATAATAAATGATATTATCCTTATTGTTTACTTTAGTAAATTGGAACTTTCTTGATACGATTTGTAAATATTATTTTAGTTAGTCAATTGTGTTGTAACATCATTACAGAAAGACCAGTCCTTAATGAACTTCCAAACAAATAAGATGGAATCGAGCGAAATGTTTAACTGTGTAGTCAGGTAATTTTTATTTTATTTGAATCAAAGTATGTGACAATTTTACAGCATAATACTCAATCGTTTTGTAAATATTTCAGAGTAAAAAGTGAACCTATTGATGCGTCATATGCTGAGAATGAGTATAATAGTATTGACGAGACCCTCGATGATAAAAACTTTGAATTTTCCAGATGTCCACAAGAATACCCAGTGAGTTCTCATAATTACGTACTATTTATATTTTAATAATCTACAATTAATAAAAAAATTTCACGTAATATTTATTTGACTCAGATTCACGCGCTTCGGAAATCTGACGAAAGTCACGAAGGTGAACTTGACGAGTTGGCGATCGAGTTGGAATGTAAAGAACAGAAGCCCAAATTTGATTTACTAGCGGTTACGAAGATTGAAAATTCGTTTCAAAATCACTCGCAGCATATGGAAGATGGAAATGGTCATCGAGTTCGAGGTGAAATCAAAATAGAAAATTTGGGAGCAATGAAAAAGGAATCATTCGTGGAAGACGCAAGCCAATTGAATGTTGAATTAGACCGTGGACTCGGTGAGCCAAATGAAACAAGCCGTGTTACAAACAAGTTGAGCTATAAACGTAGCCTAAAAATGCGCATCGGAACGGCGCACAATGGTGTCATCCACACTCGTGATCTTTGTAAAAAGACTTGCGGAACTGAGAGTCATCTCCAAAAACACATTGTTGCGGTACAGAATAAGATCCCTCACGCATGTAGTATTTGCGGAAACAAATTCGCACGAAAGAGTACTCTGAAAAATCATATTGACGTAGTGCATAATGGAGTCAGATATGCATGTGATATTTGCGGAAAGAAATATTCTCAAAAGATTCATCTAAGAGAACACATCGATTCTGCGCATCATAAAATCGTACATGAATGTGATCGTTGTGGAAAGAAATTTTCAATCAAGAATAATCTAAAAAGACACGTCGATACCGCGCACAATGGCCTTAGATACGCATGTGATATTTGCGAAAAGAAATACTCACAGAAGGGTGATCTCAAGAGACACATGGATGTGGCGCACAATGGTGTTAGATATGAATGTAATAGTTGCACAAAGAAATACTTGCATAAGAGTGTTCTCAAGAGACACATGGATGTGGCGCACAATGGTGTTAGACATGTATGTGATATTTGCGAAAAGACCTACACAACTAAGAGTATTCTCCAAAATCACATTGATGTGGCGCACAATGGTGTTAGACATGCATGTGATATTTGCGAAAAGAGTTTCTCAGATAAGAGTTATCTCAAGAAACACATCGATGTGGCGCACAATGGTGTCGCTCATACTTGTGATCTTTGTGGGAAGAAATTTTCAGAGAAATGTAGTCTTAAAAACCACATCGAGTCGCTACATAATGGTATGACACATGCATGTAATACATGCCAAAAGACATTCTCAGACAAAAGTAATCTCAAGAATCACATCGATTCTGTGCACAAGCGAGTCAGACATGCATGTGATACATGCCAAAAGATATTCTCAGACAAAAGTAATCTCAAGAAGCACATCGATGCTGTGCACAGGCGAGTCAGACATGCATGTGATCTTTGTGGGAAGACATTTTCACTCAAGAGTAATCTCAAGAGGCACATCGAAATGGTGCATCGCATGTGACGCATTATGACTCAATAACTAAAAAATTTACGCTCAATTTTATTAAAAAAAAAAAAAAAAAAACAAAATTTCCATTTGAAGGACTAATTTAAACGATTTTATGTATTATATATTATAAATTTTTTCTCATTGTATGGTACGTTATCTCATTACGTAATCAACTGCGAAGTATTAAAAAAAAAGAATTAACACATTTTTTATTGGAAAAAACTACATTGTATTTATTGTATAAAATTTATTATTACCTATCAAATTTGACACTTTTCAAAGCTCCGTGTACTCGAGGCACCGTAATCACGCGATGATATATTTTTCAGGATTACCCTTGGTTTTGCGCAGGATACACATATGGAGTATCTTATGCGACAAATCAGTTTCGCCAATAAAATGGCTGCGAAGGTGCGATCATCGACACATAGCTCATAAGGAACTAATACGATATGTATCCAAGGCGTCGCAAGCTCTCCGTAGCTGACCTGTACAATAGTACAGATGGGGTAATCTTTATTCAGCGTGGCTGTCCTAATCAGCGTGAGATTATCACGAAGCTTTTTTCTCGTTCTAAAATAGTTACAAGTAGCAAAAAAGATGCTGGTTCGTGGTATATTTGCTTGGCGGCCACAGACCAAAGCTTGTAATATCAATAAGTTGCAGTATTGACTTTTTTATCTGGTGTTATAAAATGTTGCATCAAACGAGCGGTCGCTTTGTACTTATTCGTATATATTACTCGTTGAAATTTCAGTGAAGTATTCTTGCCTTTCCAATTTTTCTAAAATCTTTTCATATTCATGTCACAAATGAAATAAAATAGAGATCATGTTTATAATTTTTTTTGCTATACCTCATGCAATTGCGTGGATATAAGAAATTTTCCTCGAATTTTATAATTTCTATAAACGCGTGGGTAAATTAAGACTTTTTAACTGGTAGCGTTCAAGAGTGTAACAAGAAACTATTCATACATTGTTCGGGCGCGCGAAGTACAAAGGCTCTCGCGCCAAGAGGCGAACGAGCAAAGAGAAGATGTTGGCTACAATATTTATTACATTCTGCCGCGAGCTTAATAATCTCTTGCCAAGTTTTTCTTGTCGTACATGAAGCTTGCGAGGGATGAGAGTGGAAAAAGAGAAGGATAGAGAAAGGATTGAGTACCTATCGAAGACCTTCAAACGCAAAAATAATTACATATCGCGTATATATACCTAATGTTATTATGTATGCGAGAGTCTGTAACCAGCAATACACGCGTACGTGTCAGTCGGATGTATTTTCCCTTTGTTGGGATGCAGGAATGATTATTTTAAATCCGTAAATTATTGCGAATCGCCATAATTTCATGTTATTAATCCGAGAGGCTTTCGCGCGCGTTCAATTATGATTCAACGTAACAACGAATTAACGTTGACAAATAACGACACTTTTCACTCGCACACACAGATGCACGAATTTCGCTTCCGCTTCAGATGCAATAAATAGTAAAAATGTGGACAATAATTTCAATCATTTCCGATACGATGTATTTTGCTAGCCACGCGGTGAAAAGTCGAAAATGGCAAAATTGTCAAAGTTGTATCAGACAGGCGCGCGCTCTGTTTGCAAGCTCTGGCGGTATATCCTCGCATATGCGTCAGAAGCTCGACTAGTCATCGCATCCTTCCTCGCGTAACGCGTATTAAAACATCCTCGCGTATTTTACCGAAAGTGCGCGACAAATGACACATATAAACAGCAATGAGAAATCATCGATTTGATTGCACCACCGCCGTAGACTTGATTTCGAAAACAGAACCTAAAGTTTCAAGAGAAAATATTCAGTGAGTGTCTAAAGCCACGAGATTTTTTCGCTCTGCTTTATATTATAACCGCACGCGTTTGTTGATTGTAATTTCACTCGTATGTGTACAGAGCAAATTTGAACTTTCGGACGCCTCGTGCATGCAACCACTCGTATGCGAGACACTGTGAAAAAGCACAAAGACAGGCGCGTATCCGCCATTGATTCTATCAATAATATTTTAAAAATATAATAACTAATCTTGATAATTCTGATTGCACTGCGCTTCGATCTTCAGGTCGATCGAAAAATTTGTATGATTTTTATTCACGCGCTTTGAGTTTTAAATTTTCAATTTCACTTTATATAAACGATGGTTTTATTTTTGCATTAGCTTTTCGAAGCAAATAATATAAGAACTTCGTTTGCGTAGATACGCGCGGGAAAAACGATGGAAAAACGGCATTAGTACGCCTTTACGATGGTAATCTGTTGATTTTCAAACATCCGCTTTTGTAGCCGCCGGCAAAACGAGCGGAAACATTTCCACCTCTTTTCGTATAAACTAAATCGCATATTGAGCTTATTTACTTTAGACGGAAAAGAAATTGAAAACTTACTTTTTTCGAAAAAGAGAGTGAAAGAGAGAAAAATCGCGCCTGATGTTAAGTATTAAGGAAAATCGCTACTTACGAAGCATGTGAAAGCTCTCTTGAGTATACTTAAAATATACAGCGACCGCAGAATCGACAAACTTTTCTAAAACTTTTGGGATAAAGTATAACGACAATAAGAATAATATGAAACTTTGTGGCAAGAGAAAAGTAGGGTAAACAGCGAGAATCTTCTGCGACTGGTTTTTTTCTTTCTCCTGCAATTTCTAATATTATATTATTATCATATTGCACATGCGAATATAAATATACGGAAATTGGTCATTCGTCAATAATTTCTATGTTAAATATTTTGCTTCAGAAAATCACTCAAAAGATATTGAGGACAATGATGACATGGGCATCAGTAAATTAAACTTGCCGAATAATATGTAGAAGAAAAAAGATAAAACAATGGCAAATGTGAAGAAGACCCACTCATGGACGAACACACTTTACCGATGGATAGAGGTATTAAGCGCAGTTTCCATCAGGTTCAAATCAAAAGGAACATTTTTTGGAATAGTCGAAGACACTTTGCTGGAAAACTTACTTGACAACAAAGTTTAACTGTTTTTATAACAAGTTTCCGGTTTCTACAAGCTTCTCCGCCTAGCGGCGTAATTCGTAACTATCGAAATAATGGCTGATCTTTATTTACGAGGCTAAACGACGTTTTGGCTTTCTATTTACACGACTCATAACATTGTACATGTATTTTTTAATGTAAATTATATTTACGTGTAACTATTTATATTCAAAATAAAAGATTATGAATACATATTTTGTTATATAACACAACTATCACGATACACGTAGATCACGTACAGAGTAATTTGGAAATTAAATTACTGTAAGTAATGAATAACGCGCCGATAGTCACAAGCTCGCTATTACTACATGCTAATTCGTATTATCAATCTGCTGAATTTGAAATATCCAATTCTCAAGTCTCCGGCGAAACGAGCTGAAACATTTACAAAAATAAGGAAAATTGCTACACACGAAGCATGAGAAAGCTTGCTCGAGTATTTCTAAAATTTACAGTGACCGCAGCATCGAGAAACTTTTCTAAAAATTTTGGGGTAATGTATAACAGCAATAATAATAATATAAAACTGTGCGGCACGAGAGAAAGAGAGAGTAAACCGCGAGAGTCATCTGCCAACGATTTTTTCTTTCTCCTGTCATTATTATTATTAACATTATTATTATCGCACTGCATGTGCAAATACACATAGGTCATATTGCGGTATCGTTTTTTTAAGTAAGCTTCAAAACTTTGAGATTTTGTATGTATTTTCGGTAACGAAGTTAAAACGACAATTTTGTATCAAAATAGAAGCTACAATCGAATCGGCCAAATTTTCTTTTACAGACCAATTGCGATTCACCCGTACAGAGATGATAATATGCAACGCATTTGACAGATTTGCAAAATTCAAAATTACGAGGCTGTGTGCGCGTGCCCCGCGAATTTGCCCGTTGAAATATTTACGTACGCGAGATAATTCGTCGCGACAGCGACAAAAAATTGATTAAAATTCGGCGACGAATTAAACCAAAAAAAAAGAAGAAACAATCTAAAACTGGCACCTCGAGCTCGTATAAAAAAGTTTTCATCAAACAACGTCCACGCGTGCTAACAACGATCAAAAAGAACTTTAAAGTGTCATTACGCATTATAATATGCGCGTCTACACAAAGCTCAATCAAAAATTCAATCGATCGGCACACGCGTGTACGAGTGTGCAAGCCGATCGAGTCGTGTCAATTTTAAACAATTTAAATTTAACAATCCTAACTGCATGTAGCCGCACCGCGCCTCGAGTCCATCTCTGTCCGTCTCTCTCTCTCTTTCTCTCTCTCGCAATCGTCGCATTATATATTCGACGAGCTTTTGCATAAAACATCGTCGACGGCTCGCGTCGGCATAATAACAATAAATCGATATAATGATAATAATAATAATATGTGTAAGTCGACGAGACGAGACGAGACGTGCAGCGATGCAATTATTGGGCAAAGCTCGAATGATATACGAGTGGGATCGCCATTGTTATCATCGATCTGATTTTTCCTATGCACTTATGAAAAATAACGATTTACGTATGAAACTGTAAAAAGCTCGATAAGTATTACGCATTACGGGTAGAAGATACGAAGAAGAGAAGGAAGCGCCGTTTATCCGTATACGACACGAGAAAGAGTATAGTAAAATCCAAACGTGCGAAAGAAGCTCAAACTGCTGAGCTCTTGTGTATATGGGGTCCAGCGAAAGCGAAATGCATTTAGAGCACGTGTGTGTGTGTGTGTGCGTGTGTGAGAGAGACAATGTCTCGCGCTATTAAGATAAGTTTCTGGATTCCGAGCACGCGGACGATATTAGAGCTCTCGCGACCGCCACCGCGCGTAAATTATAATACGAACCCGACGCAATCGCGGCCGATCTAATTATAAAAGCTTTGCTCTCGTTCGTATACATAAGATGCGCACTGAACTCTCGCAGGTGAATTGGTTTTCTTTTCCCTCATCCTTGTGGTTATAATTTCTTTGTGTAACCCGTGTGTGTAGGTATTATTACTACTAAAATACGTAGGAAATCCTTTGGCCGTATAACAATTAA